GGGGAGGGTCAGAGGGAGAAGCAGACTCCCTGCCGAGCAGGGAGCCCGATGCGGGACTCGATCCCGGGACTCCAGGATCATGACCTGAGCCGAAGGCAGTGGCTTAACCAACTGAGCCACCCAGGCGCCCTTTTCTTCTTTTTCTGAACGAAGGGAGGACAGTCATCCATCAGAGGGAGGGTTCTGAGTGAGGTGGTCCACAGCCCTCCATTAGGACACCTCCCTAGAAACTGTGCCTGGAAGCCCAGCGGTGGGCTGAGTCCCTGTCCCGGGCCACCGGGCCTGTGAGCACGGAGGCTGGAGGTGACGGACTTAGGGGAGCCTGTCTCTCCGTGTTCCCTCCAGGCCTGCTACCTGTGCCACAGCTTGCTGACGCTGGCCGGGGTGGTGGTCAGCTGCCAGGACATTACTCCAGACCAGTGGGTGAGTCTCCCAAGAGGCGGAGATGGAGGCCAGCCCGCTGTCAGGAGCTGCAAAGAGTGGGAGGCTCTGAAAGACGTGGGCCTAGGGGAGCCAGGCTCCCTCCTTCTCCCAGTGTCCCGCGAGGCATTCCCAAGCGATCCTGACCCGACCTCCCAGCGGCTGCCCTGTTCCTCTCCTCCCTTTCCTGCCCGACTTCCGAGCAGTCATTCAAATCCATCCCTCTCTTGCTCTGATTTCTTTCCCCCTCCTCCCCTTCTGCGGAGGGGCCTGGCCCACGCCACACCTCCCCCCACGCCCACACCCCCCAGGGAGAACTGCAGCTGCTCTGTATGCAGTTGGACCGTCACATCAGCACCCATATCCGGGAGAGCCCGCAGGCCATGCACCGGACCAGACTCAAGGACCTAGCTGCCCAGACCTACATCCGTTGGCAGGAGCTGCTGGCCCATTGCCAGCCCCAGGTGGTGCCCCCCCTCTGGGCCCGAGACTTGGCAGGGGAGGGAAGCGGTCAGGTGGGCTGACCAGAGCCGGCAGCAGGTCCGCCCCGACTGCAGCTACTGAGCTCCTGACTGGCCCATGGGTGGAGAAGGCAGTGTGGGGGGGTGGAGTGCCACGCAGGACCTTCACATCATGCTCACCAAGAATCCAATGCCGGTGCGGGGGTGTCATAAGGGGGAGACAGAAAGGCCAACTCCTGGCCAAATGCGAAGAAAAACTTCGCCCTAGAGAGGAGGAGCAGTGAGCAGTGCCAGGAAGGGGTACCAGAGGGACCAGCTGTCTCCCCTCTGCCCACTTGTCCTGCAGGTCTGAGGCTGGCTTCCTACTCTGTTGGGAGGGACCCTCTCAGCCTGCCCTGGTCCCTGCAATGTCTGGAGCGACAATCTCCACGCCCCTGATTCTCTCAGGCTCTCTTAGGGAATAATAGTCATAGCTAATACGTATTGAACAGAGACCACCTTTCTTCACGAATCCAGATAGCTATCCCCATGAGACAGGTCCTGTTACCACCCCATTCTACAGATGAGCAAGCTAACCAGAGTCGCTGAGAGGTTAAATAGCTTGCCCCATCATGAAGGCAGCGTGTAAATGTCAGAACCAGGGCAGAGATCCAGCCTGACTCCTAACCCCTGCTCTGGCAGCCTCTTTTCTGGTCTCTGTCCCTCTGACAAACAGCACCAGCTGCCTTGGGGGCTCTTCCCTCCCCTAGTCCAGAACCCTTGATGGACACAGGCTGGGTCTGGTGAGCATTTCTCCTCCCATCCTCCCAGTGCCCCTCGGCTCCCAACGTGTCTATCCTTGGCCTTCTCTCTGCTCGTCCTTCCTCCTGTAACCTCTGACTTGGGGCTGACACATTGGCCACAGGCTGTGGCTTGGGTCTCAGATTTCGCAAGTCTCTGAGAAAGCTGGAGAGCAGACCTCACCCTCAATCCCCCAGGAACTAGATCGCACTAGTCTCTGGTGGGAAACAGCGTGTTTGTCAGGAAAAGTGATTTGTGGCCTGGCCAAGTCAGGGGGCAGGCCCCACCTTCCTGTCACACTGCCCTGGGCCTTCGAGCCGTGAGTAGAGGGAACCCGGACAGAGCACTCCTGCGCTGTGCTCAAGTGGCCTGTTGACCTGCCGTGTCCTCTCCTGGACGGGAAGCCACAGGACTCTTGTAGCTCAGCACCGGGCATGAGGAGGCCTGTAGTGGATGTTGACGCTGGAGAGTCACCATCAGGACAGTGGGCACCACCCGGCCCGGGGCCATCGCCCTGTTTTTCTCCTTGCCACAGGCCCAGTACTTCAGCCCCTGGAAAGACTAAAGGAGCAGGGCACGGCTGCTGGTCCCCAGCTCTTGGCTCTGGCAGGAAGCAAACGGGCTTCAAGGAACAGGAGGGAGCGAAGAACAGAGGCCAGAGGAGGACTGGTGTGATGAAGCAAGAGCCTGCCTCCCCCTGACCCCCACCAGGCAACGGATGTGTCTCCCTGGCCCACCCCTCAGCCCTCCTTCCCTCCCAGTCCTCCCAGTCGTCTCCTCTGCCCCAAGGCCTTTGTATCCACTCTCCGTTTTCCCGGGGCCTCCTGGGCCCTCCCAACCCTCCTTCCTCTCTGGCGCTAATGCGAGCTTTCTTTGTGCACACTAAAGTCTTATTTCAGCATCGGTGGTTTAGAAGATTTCCTTCAATGCCTATCCTGAGGGCTTCTGCCCAGCGTCCAGTTTCCTGACGTCTCTGCTGGTGCTGGGCTGAGTTCCCACCTCGGACAGTCATGTGACCTGGGCCTCTTAGGCCCCACCCCCTGCCCCAGAAGGCTGTTTGTAAATCCTGAGGGAGGAGCAGTTACTCCTGTGGCCTGAGAGCTGTCAGAAACCGGGGAGCACCAATAGGGAGCATTTGTTTGGACCCGGTCTGGAACTACGCCCCCCCCCTACTCACTGCCCTCACTGGGGAGGATCCAGAGTGAGCTGGTGGGTCAGGGCTGTAATTACACTTAATTCGGTTTATCACTGAGTTCTGAAATCAACTCCCCAGACTTAGAAGTGGGGTGGGGTGCCAAAAGACAGTTCTGGATACTTTCCCTCAGCCTTGCTCAAGATTGGTTTGGTGGGCCCTGATCCTTAATGAAGTGCTGGGTATCTTTGACCTGCCCCCCCTTGAGAAGCATGTGGGCCCTGTGCATCACTGGGGAGATCCCTGGGTATCCCCATTCTCTGTCTACTTCTCCAATCCCAAGAATCCATTTTAGCGTCAGGCTTCTCCTAACTCTGGGTTGGAAGAGGGTTTTGCAGGGGCCGTAAGAGGTGGAAGTAGCAGAGGATGACCCCTACACCCTTGGCCCGGGCCCACTCCTCAACTCAAGCCGTGTCTGCCGACGGAGCTTCACCATGGCTGGTGCTTACGACTTTCTGTGTTTACGTGCCCCTCTCCTTTGCTCTCATGCCACAGGGGTAGGGTAAGGCAGGCTAACTAGGAGAGAGACTCCCCCCAAATAAAGGACCTTCAGGACAAGTGGCTCAATTTGTAGAACTGAAGGGTAGCCCATCACTTCCTGGGCC